CAGGCAATCCTCTTGCCTCGGCCTCCCAAAGTGGTGGGAGAACAGGCGTGAGACACCACACCCGGCCTGTACACCATTTTTCTGGCATAATGCTACCTCACCCTTGGTAGACCACAGTGTAGTGTAAACATAATTTTTATATGCACGGAGAAACCAAAAAGTCCGTGACTCCCTTTTGTGATACTGGCTTTCTGGCAGTGGCCAGGAACGGAACCTGCTTTCTCTCTGAGGTGTCTGTATTAACATTTGTCAAGACTCATCAAACTGTGTGATCCAGATGGGCACATTTTACTTCACATAAATTTTGCCCATATAGTTGACCTAAAAAGAAGACTGATGCGATTGAGTGGGGAAGTCTGTGGAATGAAGTCTGCCCTGTCCCCAGGACACAGAAGAAACCCTAGAACAAGACACCAAGTTGCCTGGGCTGGTCACAAACCCGTGGGCTCGAGCAATCCTCTTGCCTCAGTCTCCCGAAGTGCTGGGATGACAGGCTTGAGCCACCACGCCTGGCCGATTTAACTTATTTATGTAGGGATTACCTTTCTCCTGTTAAATTAAGTAAAACGAAATTTAGTGTTCAAAAGTTTAAAAAGCCAAATATAATAGATCCTATCTACCAATGTGCCTCATTCCATAATATGAGAAGACAGTGCTTGTGAGATGTCCCAGGACGTAATGTGCCATGGAAAAATCACAGCCGACCCAACTAGACCTAATGCAAAGGTGCCAGGCACCGTCAGATGCACCCCAACTGCAAAGATGTCCAAGTGTGAAAAGTGAGACTCAGAACGAATAAAAGACATCTCCACCCATCCATCCAGCCGCCCACCCAGACACACGCATATGGAAAGGCTCCAGGAGAAGTCACCCATGTCTAATAGCAGTTATTTCTCGGAGAAAGGACCTGAGGTCATTTAAACATTTTTATCTTTTCTACATTAAAAGAGATGGAAATAGGCCGGGCTCTGTGGCTCAGCCTGTTCAAGACCAACCCGGGCAGCTTGCCGAGACCTCGTTTCTACAATAAAAATCCAAAATGAGCCAGGTGAGGTAGCACGCGCCTGTGGTTCCGGCTACTTGGAGGCAGAAAGATCGCCGGAGCCCAGCAGGTGGACGCTGAGGTGGCCGTGAGTGTGTCACTGCACTCCAGCCTGGGCAACGAAGTGAGACTCTGACTCTTAAAAGAGAAAAGATGGGATTACAAAAACAAATCAATAATTTAAATTCAAGAAGTATGCCAAGATGTTAACAGTAGATAATTCCGGATGGATGACTTTATTTGCTTTCCGTTCATTTCTGTGTTTTAAAACAATCCTCAACATTAAAAAAAAATTGAACTAAGCAAGCGAAGATTCCTACACACTGGGGGACTCCTTAGACGAAGGGACTTTCTGACTGGCAGGGGCCTCCTCCCAGGGTGACACGGCCCTGGTTTGCGCGGGACTGTCCTGGTTTCACACCAGAAGTCCCCCTCCCGATGGCCCGTCACCCCACCTCCTCACGGCTCAAAATGAGCGGCGAGGCACAGGCCAAACACTCCCCACCGCACGGCAGCGGTGTCTGTTTTTCAGCGTGTCTCAGGATCCCCGAGGGACCCGTGAAGCAGGCAAGCTCCTGGGTCCACCCACAGAGGCCCCGGTCCAGGACCCTGGGGCAGGGCTCAGAGAGGGCTCATGCCCAGCACCAGGTCATGCCCACCTCCGGCCACCGTCGGGCTTCCTCAGCAGGACCTCCCGTCCGCCTCCCCCTCCCCCCTCCACACTGGGCCTCTGCCCCCCCCGAAGGCCCCGTGGGGCTGCCCACCTCACATCACCTGCCTGGGGAGTTGCCCCCTCCCCAAGAAAGAGGCGTGGGGGGTACTCAAGGGAGCCCATGCCCGCCCTCCAGGAAGACACTGGCAGCTCGACCTGGACCCAGACTTGTGTGCGGACGCCGTGAGCACTCTTCCAGAAGAAAGCACCAACCCGTGAAACGCAGGGATGGGCAAAGCCCTTCCGCGACACAGAAGGGACACGGGACTGGCCGGCTCCGCCCGCTCTTCCCTCAGCATCCACTGTCCCTGAGCACCATCTGCGAAAGATTCTCCTAGACATTCAAAACACCCATTGTCCCACCCTGCACACTTACGTCCATGTGAACCTAAGTCTGAGGCGTTAATTCCCTCTCCTGGACGTGACCCGAAAGAAAGCAGGCTTGAAGCCGGACTCAGTGGCTCAGCCTGTAATCCTGTGCTTTGGGAGGCTGAGTGAGCGGATTGCCTGAGCCTGCAGGTTCGAGACCCGCCTGGGCAACTTGGTGAGCCCTCATCTCTACAATAAATCAAAAAATCAGCCGGACGTGGTAGCGCGCACCTGTAATTCCACCTACTTGGAAGGCTGAGGCGGAAGGATCGCTGGAGCCCAGCAGGTTGAGGCTGCGGGGCCGGGAGCGGCCACTGCACTCCAGTCTGGGCGACAGAGTGAGACTCCAACTCAAAAAAAAAGCAAGCAAGCAAGCAAGCAAGCAGGCTTCTCCAGCCTCGCTGCGGAGCCCAGCTGCTTCCGAGCCGCGAGACTATCCGCTTTTTGAGCCCATGCCCCAGGCCCCTGTTTCCACGACGCCCGGCCCAGGCTTCTCGAACCTCACAGAATCACTTGGGGATCTTGTAGAAAAGGGGTTCTGACTCAGCAGGACTGGGGTGGAGCCCAAGAATCTGCATTTCCAACAAGCTCCCAGGGACGCCTTGTGCTGGTTGCCAGGCCACCGTGAGCAGTGAGGGTGGCTGACAGGCCCAAGCTGGGTCCCTGGGTCTGTATCTGCCAGTAATAAAAGCGAGGTGGGCGTGTGCTCCTGCCACAGGGCTTAAACGACTAGGCTGTGTTTGCAGGACATTTGCAGCGTGCCCTACCTCTGGGCAGGGTCAGCCACCAGGTTGCAAAGTCCTTTAGAATTGTGAAGCCTTCTGTCTGCTGGCGACTGAAATGCAAGCCATCAGAGGCCAGTTCTAAGCAGTGTGAGTGTGTGCGTGTACACATACACATCTATACACATGTAGACACACACCTATATAAAGCACCTGGGTGAGAAGGGAAGTGAAGAAGTCAGGAAACTGACTGTAATTCTAAAAATGAGCAGGGCTTCATGTGAGAAAACGCGACGTGGCTCGCTTTGGCGGGGGTGGCTGCGGGCCTTTCGTAGATCAAGTCAGAAAATTGTCAGCTGCAGGGATGGAGCTTTGAACTTGAGGGGGAACGAGGAAATTAAAAGAGGCAGCCATGAGAATGTCTTTACAGTCTTGGATTTGCCGGGGCTCAGAAAACAAGATGTGGCGTTCTGACACGCACAGCCGAAGCCGCCAGGCTTGGGGCGCCTCAGACTCCGGCTCTGTGCTCTCCATCCTCTGTCTTTTCCAAAGCGCAGGAGGAGGCTGATCTACGAAGTTCCATGACCTGCCTAGACACTGGGCCCTCGAAGAGGAGCACAGTGGCCCTCACTCTCCCCTCTGAAATTTCATCGACTGGAGAAGATTAAAACTCGTATCCCAGAGACTGAAAAGTCAACACCACACCCAGGGCCCAGGTGAACTTCCTTCCAAACCAGTGCTCCCGGGTCCCATTCAGTCCTGGAAAAAATGGTGTCCTCCCCACTGCCTGAACACGGGGCCCGCCTGCAATGCACCCACTCCCCGTCTCCCCTTCCAAGAAGGGCGTGTGAACTTCTGCACTGCTGGGTCATCAGGGACCGTTCCCCGGCCAGGCCCTGAGCGGACGCAGCTACGTGAGCACGTCTGCCCTCCTCCTACTGACGGCGGTCGTCTGGTCACTCCCAAAGACCCCCCCGAGGGCGGAGGGGACACTTTCCTTTCTCCCCCACGACTTCGACCGAGCGTGAAGCCAGAAGGCGGACACCAGACAGCCATCTTACACAGAGTTGCCCAAGACCCAGAATGAACGAACACGATCACGTCGCCGTTATTCCTGTTCCCGAGCACCGAGAAGAAAAGTAAGAGTCGTGGAGAGAAAACGCAAAGGCTTCGAGGCACGAGCACAGCACTGCTTTGAAAATTCTGCCATGCGAGCCACAGGACAGGAAAACAAGGCGGAGAGGACACAGGGCAGCAGGCCAGCAAGCGCCGTCTGGACGGCGGGATCATGACCTCGGTTGTTGCTCCTTCGGCTTTTCCACCATGACAACGTATTACTTTTATAATAAAATAAGATGAAAATAACTTTTAAGCACAGTCGTGCCCAGGTAGATCAACAGGGAGATCGCTTCTCCCTTGAAGGACAGCTTCTGTGACCTGTTTCCCGCGATGAAGCCCCACACAAGTCTCTGTTTTCCTGGGATCATCTGAACATTGAGGCTGTGATCACACATTAGAGTGTTACATGAAGCCTGAGGTGGGCCTGGTGGCTCACGCCTTAGTCCTAGCACTTTGGGAGGCTGAGGCGGGAGAACCGCTCGAACCCAGGAGTTTGAGACCAGCCTGGGCAACATAGTGAGACCTCATCTCTACAAAAAAAAAAAAAATTAGCTGGGCATGGTGGCGCGGGCCTGCAGACCCAGCTACTCAGGCGACTGGGACGGAAAGATCGCCTGAGCCCAGGACGCTGAGGCTATAGTGAGCTGTGATGGCATTCCAACCTGGGCGACAGACTGAGACCCCTGACTCAAACAAAAGAAAGAAAGAAAAGAAATCTGAGTCACCACAATCTGTAAATTCCCAATCGTTCCTCTGCCTGGCATCTATGAACCCTAAAGGGTTCCAAGCTCAAAGTGGCGAGGCCCCCTGTCCGCCAGCGCCCACACCATGCCAACCACAGAAACCCCCGCGTTCCCCGTCCAGGCCACAGGGCCGAGCGGCTGTGCCTGCAGACTCAGGGACAGAGTTCCGCAGCGGTTTCAGCGTCCGGGCTGTCACCCGGCTGGTCACGCACAAGGCAGGACCTGTCACGCCGGGAGGAGGCCGCGTGCCGAGAAGCCCGCGCAGCCACGCGTGGGCCACGCCACGGCGGTACCTTCAGGATGGTGATGTTCCAGGTGAAGCTCTCCACCGCCTTCTGCAGCTTCCGCTCCTTCAGGCCCTCCTTGGTGCCGATGCTGTGCAGGTGTTCGTGGAATTCCATGGCTGAAAGAAGCAGAGAGACCAGGTGTGTTACCGCTGCGATCCGGGGCGAGGGACCGTCAAGCCATAGCGTTCCAGGCACGGCTAAGCGACCCCAGCCTGCAAGGGCGTTTCACAAGCGCGGCCCGGGGGGGGGCGCCGTCGTGGGAGGACACAGACCCTTCACGGATCGACAGGGGAGGGCGTCTCAGAAGTCGGTGACCAGCCCCACAGTTTTGAAGGGCCAGCAGGGCACATGAGATCATTCCCCCTCCTCGTTTTTTTAAATTTTAGACTCGGGGGACACGTGCATGTGTGTTACATGGGCCTGCCGTGCAGTGGCTGGAATTGGGTCTCAGGCGGCCCATTCCCACTGTGCCCGATGGCGACTTCCGAAGCTTCGTCCTCTCCCCGCATGCCCGCTCTGGTGGCCCCGGTGTCGCCCACATGCCGGTGAGGACACGGGGTGTTCAGGTTTCTGTTTCTGAGCCAGTTCACCGGGATGACGGTCTCCAGCGCCATCCACGCGGCCGCGGCCCCTTCCTCCTGTGAAGAGCCACGGCTTTGGAAATGGACGGCCACGCAGCAGGGGAGGAGGGCCGGGCCCAGAACCGGGTCTCAGGGCCTCAGGAGGCAGGTGCCCGCTGAGGACTGGGTCAGAAAGGGCGCCGAGGAACGCACTGCCTGTCTCGGTCAGGGGCGGCCTGGGGCCGGCTTCCAAGCCTTCGGGAAGGGCATGTGCAGCAGGACCCCAAACTCCAGCTGTGTTTCTGCTCCAAGTCTACACCAGGACGTGCACCGTCAGGTGAGCGCTCCCTCCTGTCATTCAAAAGTCTCGCCAAGCGGACCCTAGGATCCTCTCATTCAGATTTAGTGCATGGGCTGTCACATAAAATTTTTCATCGGAAGCTTTTTATTCCCTCTCAGGTGGAAAAGCCTTAACCCCTCAACACCCGACAGGACGCCTCGCAGGAAGACTGCCGAAGGAACTCAGACACTCCTGGCACTGCTTAGCGTGTGTCCGAGCGTGTGTCCCGTGGAGAACGAGCAGTTGCAGCTAGAAGCAGTTCTGTGGTCTCCTGGGACGGCTCTTTCCTCTGTGTGGGGAGGTCCCGGCCAGGCTCAGTTTGTGCTTATTTTTCCTTGTTTTGCGTATGAGTCCTGGGGGTGCTTTTTGGGTGTAACTTGTTCTATCATTATGTCAAAACATCCCATGACTCCAAATCAAACTCCACATCAAGGTGCACTCAGGGAAGTCCTACTTCCTCCTCACTTTCTCTGCCCAGATCATTCCCCTATATATATATATTTTTTAATGAGTTTTTAGTTTATCTTTTTATTGTGCTGTCTCTCCTTGCCAGTGTAAGCAAAGGTGTGCACATATATTCATAATTCCCCTTCCTTACATAAAAAGCAGCATCCTGTGTGCACTGTTCTGGACCTGGTCATTGTGTTTTTGCTCTAATATTGCACAGGGGAGATGGTTCCACATCAGCGTGAGATCGGAGCAGAGCTGGGTGGTCGCAGAAGGATGGAAAAGCACCGGGCAGCAGTTGAGAAATCACGTGATCACCCCAAGAAAAGGTCCTGCTTTTCAGGGGCTCTGAAGCCTGGTCACAAGAGTTACCGTCTACCCTCAGTTTAATCCAACGTGGTGACAGACGTGACCCTCAAGCTATTCCCCTCCTTGTAACAGCTTAGCAAACTAAATGACACGCCCACCAGCACCGTGATCACAGTCCCAGGTGTGACCGAATATGGGCAGAAAAGGGGAGGGCACCCCATTCTGGGAAAACCCCACCTTTCCCCAGAAAACCCGCAAATATTCCACCCCCTCACGTGAACATTCCACCCCTTAGTTAGACATAGCGATAAAAAGAAAAACCCCGGGTCCCTCTGGGCACCACTGACTCCCTCCAGTGTGTCCGCACTCCCTCTTTCAAGGGTGAACTTGCTTTTTACAATAAAACGCCTTCTCTTCTGTTTTTGTTTTCTGGCTTGTCCTTTAAGTTTTTCTCACAACAGTGTCAAGAATCCGAGTAAACCAGGCTGAGGCCGGGGGGTCTCCCTTCTCAGGTACCAGGTGTCTAGAGCTCTTCCTCATCCTTAAACAGCTACTGAGACCGACCGTGTGGACAAGCCAACATTGAATTTAACCCACCTCCTGACGACCGACACCGAGTTGTTTCAAATGTTTTGCTATTACAGAAAGCGTGGAATGGCCGCAAACTTTACAAGACACTTTCTGCATCTTTTGCACAATTTTACTCTCTGGTTTGGCATTCCGATGTCTAATCCCCTTTCGGCACAACGCCATCTCAAGGCAACTCTTCAGAGAGTGATGGACAGCAGCCTTACTCCTTGGTGTCTTTAAATATCAAGCAAGAACTGCCAAGCTTTGGATAAATGTCTCATGCTTTCTATGTAGTCTTTTCCCTCCTCAATGCTTTCCCCACCTTCTAGCAGCTGTGTCCCTACTTCCTGTCAGGCTGATACGAGGAGAGCCCCACGGTTTCAAGAAGGAACAGGAATTCCTACAAGTCATCCCCAGTTTGTCCCCACCGGCCGCTCTTCCGTCTCCAGTGTCTCTTCTGCCCATGACGGCTCCTGTGCCCACCCTGACTTGACTAACTGAAGGCCCCACCCGGCTGGTGACTGGCTCAGACGCCGCTGCATGCCCTGTGCCTGCTTTTCCTTTCACTGGATGTGGCTGGCTCAGCGGACTGGACACAAAACAAAACAACAAAGAGTGAAGATCACAATGGCCACAAACAGGCAGTTGCCGTGTCCCAAAACCAGGGTTTAGAGTTTGGGGCTTGGCCAGGCCCGGGGCTCAAGCCCGTCGTCCCAGCACTTTGGGAGGCTGAGATGAGAGGACTGCCCAAGCTCAGGGGCTCCAGGCCCGCCTGGGCAACTTGGCGAGACCTCGGCTCTACAATATATCGGAAAATAAGCCGGGCGTGGCAGCGCGCGCCTGTAGCTCCAGCGACCCGGAAGGTTGCCAGAGCCCAGCAGGCCGAGGCTGCGGTGGTCGCGAGTGGCCACTGCACTCCAGCCTGAAAGACAGAGGGAGGCTCTGACTCAAAAAAGAAACCACACACACATGCGTGCACACACACACATGCATGCACATGTATGCGCGCGCGCGCGCACACACACACACACACACACACACATCACCCCCTCTTCACACCTGGCCAAGCCTCAGACCTGCCACTGCAGCCCTCACAACAATCTGCGGGCTGCTGGTCTTCCGTTAGGTTTTGATGCAGGTCTACACAGCAAGCGCTCCGGCTTTCTGAGCTGCCTCATTAGCCCTCATGGCATCTGAACGTCTGGTGGTCAAGCGGCACCACATTCTCATAAGGACCACTGAGGCCTGGTGGGCACAGGGAAGGGGAGAGACAGGCGCGAAGAGGGGTGGCTCCCTGGAACGAGAGGGGACGGGGCTTCGAGGCCCGCAGGATGGAGGGGAGAGAAGCCGGGAAGGGAAACGGGCGACCGTCACGCGAGACTCCACGCCACAACCGCCAGGCCCGCTGGGGCCACTCGCGAGGTGCGCCACGCACACGTTCCAAAGCTGGCACAGAGGCATCGCACGACAGTGGGGGGTTCCAGCGCCAGGGTGCCTGCTTGGTAGCCTCGCTCCACTGGGGACCGACGGCTCACGTCGCCTTCGGAGCCCTCGACCCCCGTGGGGCACCAGGGCAGTGGCAGGGTCCCACCAGGCTGGGCTTCACGCCCACGAGCAGGCGGGGGCTGCAGCCGCGGGGAGCACAGAAGAGCAGGTGGCAGGACCGACGTGGACAGAACGTGCCTCCTGGGTTCAAGAAAGCAGCTTGCCCAGGCCCGGGAGGCGGGAGGGAGCCAGGGCCAGAGGCTGTGAAAGGACAGGCTGCCCGGAGAGCGGAGACCCGACGGGGAAACAGTCGGAGGGTGGAAACGATGCCAGCCGGGAGGCGCAGGGAGGCGGTTAGGGCGCACGGAAGCTGTGAGCTTCCAACCGTGGGAAAGGCTTGGTCGTCCACGTCGGTTACAAACCTCACCCGTGTGCAACGTACTTATGCAGAAATCTGACTCACATGCACTCCACAATTCTAAAATATAAAAACACCTCAAACGTCAAGAGAGAGAGAGAGAAACACACACACAAGACAATTCCCCCTTATCTGATTCCTCCCAACCTATATCTAACCCAAAGAAAGTTCACAGGGAAGGTCAGCATGTTTTATTTCTTTATTATTCATTTATTTTTGAGTCGGAGTCTCACTCTGTCGCCCAGGCTGGAGAGTAGTGGCACGTTCACGGCCACCGCAGCCTCCACCTGCTGGGCTCCAGCGATTCTTCCGCCTCAGCCTTCCAAGTAGCTGGTACCGCAGGCACACGCCACCATGCCCGGCTAGTTTTTGTGATTTATTGTAGAAACGAGGTCTCACCAAGTTGCCCAGGCTGGTCTCAAATTCCCAGGCTCAGGCAATCCTCTTGCCTCAGCCTTCCTAAAGTGCTGGGATTACAGGCTGAGCCACCACACCGGCCAAGGTTTCTTTACCACACAGATTTTTCTAGAACACATCTATTTCTGTGATTAGTAGTCAGGACTCACAAAACTGAGATACAAAAGCTCTCGTTTTAAATCATGAAAGTCATTTTTGGTGCTTGAAGAACACGACCTGGCCAGCCAGCAACATGCCTTGATCACATACCGCGTGGGGGTCATTGGAATGTATGCTGTGTGGAGTCTGATTAAAACCCACTAAAGGCTGGGCTCGGTGGCTCAGCCTGTCATCCCAGCGCTTTGGGAAGCCGAGGTGAGTGGATTGCCTTCGCCGGCGGGTTCGAGACTAGCCCAGGCAACTTGGTGAGACTTCGTCTCTACATTAAATACAAAATTAGCTGGGTATGGCAATACACGCCTGTAGTTCCGGCTACTTGGAAGGTGGAAGTGGAAGGATTGCCGGAGCCCAGCAAGTCGATGCTGGAGTGGCCGTGAGGTGCCACTGCACTCTAGCCTGGGCGACAGAGTG